GAAAAAAATAGGAATATAATAATAATAATAATAAATAAAAGTGTTCGTACTTTCCGCACACCGGATATGTCCTTCCTCACATATCTTCTCCACCGAATGAAGTGCGTCTACTTATTGACCCCATCTTTTTCGTCGCTTTCCCAAAATACCCTCGTCAACTCTCCATACATTTTCCCGTCCTTTTGCCGTACGGCATATTATGATAAACGGCGCTGTCCAACCCCCTTTATAATTACCAGAATACCCCCATCCCTTGCTAGGAAAAAAATTATTCATTTCTTTGTGGAAAAAAAAAAATATATATTTTCCATTGTTAGTAGCTGAGCTGATTTTTTTATGAAATATTTAGTACAAAGATGTTATTATACTCAACAACTAATTATTGAGCTTTTTTTCTTTTAATTTATTAGATCGTGTTTTGTGTGCCCCACTAGATAATTTGACGAGTAATGAGTTTGGGAGATCGACTGAAGAGGCAAGTTGATGAGGTATGCAGGTCGATAGGAGGTTATGTAGTGAGATAATTCTGGTTAGTATTTTTGGATAATTCCATCATGCTCGAGCTCGAGTTCGTATAGTAATCTAGGTTGTAGATATCGATTTGATTAACGAATACATGTTTATAGGACTGGTAATGAAAAAGGACGATGAGTGATAAGAAAATTGAGTTCCCACTTATGTTATGAACATCTTATCCAAAAATAAAGAATTCTGCAACGAACATAAAGAATATAAATACATATTCGGAATTTGTGAAAATCTAAAAACACTTCTCAATATTATTTTGCGTACAATTGCCCAAGGAGTCTCCATATAGATTGATTGATCAACATCAAAGTCTTTATGACGAGAATTCTATTAGATTGCTTTTGCAAGTCATCAAGGACCGGTTCAAGATGAAAATACTGGTTCAAAGATGCAGAGCGCGTCAATGCTATAAGAACATAAAAATTGATATAATACACATACTATAATCCAATTGTTTTACATACCATACTACTAACTGCTATATATTCACATAAATCACATTATTTATTTCACATTTTGTTTACATTTGAATCAATTTGACACATTTAATTTTACATCCACATGTTTGAATAATATTTATAAATAAATGCCTCCATTTTACATCCACATATTTGAGTAATATTTTCTTAAACATACTTATAGTCAAATGTAAATTTTCTATCAGACCAACATACTATGTTCACATAAGTATGACATTTGATAATATACACGTAGATTTCTATTCAAATAATATGAAGAATAGCGTTCGTGAGTCTGTGGAGATGATCAAAGGGTAATTGTGTCCGCACAAAAACTGTGAAAATGCCAAAAAGGGCAATTACGTAACTTCACCATCATCTCCCTCAATCCGCACCTCCACTTATTGCTGACCTGCCCCAAATCCACAACTACTTCTCTTCTGTTAACTCAGTTAAAACCTCCAAAAACACGCAGCATCGTTTTCATGGCTATCAGAACAAGATAAGATCCTCTCTTCCATTATTATACGCACAAACCTCCTCATATCTATACACACACAAACCATATTCAAACAAATTCGTCTCACCCCAACCGCCATTGATAAAAGCTTGAGCTGCTCAACAAGATATAGCCCAGCCCCAAGCTTCACAGCCATGAAGATGCTGAAAACGTCCCGCGAACCCACCTCGAGCCGCTTCGAGCTCCTCTCCGAGGAGATCGTCTTCTTAATCCTCGATTTCCTCGACGAGGACCCGGCTGACCGGAAATCCTTCTCCCTGGTGAGCCGTTCGTTTTACGAATTCGAGTCCCGGCATAGGAGCTACCTGAAGCCCCTCCGCTCGGAGCACCTGGCGAAGGCGCTCGGCCGGTACCCGCACACGGCGGCTCTGGATCTGTCGATGTGCCCGAGGGTCACCGATTTCTCGCTCGGGATTATCTCCACCCGGTGCAGGGGAATGCTGAGATCGATCAATTTGTCGCGTTCGGGGTTCTTCACGCACGCGGGGCTGTCTGATTTGGTGGCGAATTGCGTGAATCTGGTGGAGATTGATTTGTCGAACGCGACGGAGCTCAAGGACTCCGCCATGGCGGCGATTGCTCGGGCGAGGAGCTTGGAGAGGCTGTGTTTGGCGAGATGTAAGTCGATTACCGATATCGGGATTGGGTGTATTGCTGTGGGGTGCAGAAAGCTGAGGTGGCTGAACTTGAAATGGTGCTTGGGTGTGGGTGATTTGGGGGTGGAGCTGATTGCTGTTAAGTGCAGTGATATGCGGAGTTTAGATCTCTCTTACTTGCCGGTAAGTTAATTCAATATTTTTTTCCTTTTCGGCCTTTTATCATTCATCATCGTTGTTGTTAGCTTAAAGGTTGTGTACTGTTAAGTGTAGACGCTCACCGGTTAAGATACAAATACCTTAGTTCATTTTTTTTCCGGTGATATATGAATCTGTGTAGTGGGAAATTGTTGTTCTCTGACAATTGAATTTTTCTTGTCACAGATCACGAGTAAGTGTTTATCGCAAATCTTGCAGTTGCAACATCTCGAAGATTTGGTGCTGGAAGGATGTTACGGCCTTGATGATGACAGCCTTGCAGCCCTCAAGCTAGGATGCAAATCGTTGCAGGTACTAATTTCGCTGAAAAATCTGTTTGAACTTGGGAATCTTGAATTTCAGTCGAGTAAACTGCGTTCGCAGCATGCTAGAGCTTTAATCGAGTAATTTCGTACTATAAAATGGGAGATTTTTTTGTTGGTTGATTCTATACTAGACTGCATTTTCTTGCAGAAAATTCCTGTGCATTAAATGTGTTGAAATGCTTTTGATTATGTCATTTCAACAGAAACTGGACATGTCAAGCTGTCAAAACATAAGCCACATAGGCTTATCTTCTCTAACCGGTCTTGCTGGAAGCCTAAAGCAGCTCAACCTGTCGTACGGTTCTCAAGTGAGTGTCCCTGCACATTTTCTCCCTCATTCTATAGTGTACCGATACTGAATTTTCCCAACCTAACTAACTGTCTCGAATTAAATTTTCAGGTTGATCTCGATCTAGCTACTAGCCTGCGAAATCTTTCCATGCTGCAGTCCGTAAAGCTAGATGGCTGCCAGGTCACTTGTTCCGGGCTCAAAGCCATTGCAAAATGGTGTGTTTCGTTAACAGAGCTGAGCCTAAGTAAATGCACGAGTGTAACGGATGAAGGGCTGTCATCCATAGTCGCTAAACACAAGGACATGAAAAGACTGGACATCACTTGCTGCCGCAAAATTACAAATAGGTCCGTAGCCAGAATCGCAGATTCTTGCACCTCGCTCGTTTCCCTGAGGATGGAGTCCTGCACGTCAGTTCCAGCCGAAGCTTTTGCTCTGATCGGGCAGAGTTGTCATTTTTTGGAGGAGCTTGATGTCACAGATAATGAAATCGATAATGATGGTATATTAAGTACTTTCTTACTTTTTGCTCGGCTGAAGTTGTACTCAGTTGTTTAGTGAAATTAAATAAATTTACATTGACACAGGTCTGAAGTCGATATCCATGTGCACTCGCCTCACGAGCTTGAAACTCGGAATCTGTTTAAACATAACCGACGAGGGGCTTATCCATATCGGCCAGCGATGTTCACAGCTCAGAGAGATTGACTTATACAGGTTAGTGCAGTGCTCATGTAGGGCTGCAAAGGAGCCAAGCGGCTTGTGAGTCGCTCGAGTCAAAGCTCGACTCGAGCTCGAGCTGCTCGAGCTTGAACTGAGTTCGGCTCGAGCCCATATTTTGCATTGTCGAGCGGCTCGAGATATATGTTGAATTACTTAAAATACCCCTTTTATATATTATATAACATAGGTGCTTAATAGTAATTTTATTTTTTCCACTTAAAAATTTTCGAGCAGAACTCGAGTTGAGTTCGAGCATTTTGATTTCGAGTCGATCTTGAGCGATTGTACTTTTTTATCTAGTCGCGCCCGAGCCTCATAAATCGAGCTCGAGCTCGAGCTCGAGCAACTAATAGGAAAAACCAATCCTGCTCGATAAGGTCAATGCTCGGCTCAGCTCGTTTGCAACCTCTTATCATCAAACATTCTTTTCTCCTTTTTTTCTGAAATGATTTTTCGATATTTTCTTGTTTATTTCAGATCAGCTGGAATTACAGACTCGAGTATTTCAGCCATAGCTTGCGGTTGCCCAGGACTCGAGATGATCAACATAGCCTATTGCGACTTCATTTCCGATAGCGCGCTGATGTCACTAGCAAAATGTTCGAAACTGAACACGCTCGAAACTCGAGGTTGCGCTCTAATTACATCCTCGGGCCTAGCAGCTGTTGCCGCGGGTTGCAAGCAGCTTTCCAAATTAGACATTAAAAAGTGTGGCAACATTGATGATGCTGGCATAATGCATCTTGCAAACTTCTCTCAAAACCTCAAACAGGTAAAATAGCTCGTCTTTCTTGGGATTTACTGTATATTCGTTCATTAATGGTTCAAAATCACAATCGGTATGGATATTATATTTCGATTAATAGTCACCAGTCTTGTTAAATATGAAACAATTTGCAGATAAATCTGTCATATTCATCTGTCACGGATGTGGGACTTTTATCACTCGCGAGTATAAGCTGTCTGCAAAGCTTAACTGTTCTCCACCTGGAAGGTTTGACACCAATCGGGCTTTGTGCTGCACTTTTGGCATGTGGTGGAATAACTAAGGTGAAGCTTCACTCCTCGTTTAAACCTCTTTTGCCACAACGCTTTTTCCATCATTTGGAGGCACGCGGCTGCACTTTTCAGTGGAGAGCAAAAACATTTCAGGTATACTCTTTACTTCTATTTATTTATTTATATATGAATCAAAATCCCGAAATGGTGGAACGTTTCGGGTACGTTCGAATAATTCTTGTAACTAAGTTTGAGTTTGTTCGACTGACAGGCCGAGTTGGATCCCAAGTGTTGGAAATATCAGTTGGCCGACGCAGAATAAGGTTTGCTGAGACTTAAATACAAGATAATGTGATGAGTTTTGATGTATTTTGGAGACAGGTCCTTTGCAAAGTAGTAAAGATTCTGTGTTTTGGAGATGGGTTCTTTTTTTTTTTTTT